TCTATCCTTATAAGGAAACACACAGATAAGCCGAAAGATTGCACTGGAAAGTCAGTCAGACAGACAGACAAATTGACAGTTAAATAGGAGAAGTAGTCAAACACATAGGAACTCATATAAAGCGGACTCATAATTATCACGAAATGGCGCAATGTAACAATACTATGGGCTCATTCAATGCTACTTGTCTTCGAGGATTCTCAGGAGATGATGTTGATTGAATTGGTGAGATACATAACTTGACCTCATTTCCCAGCTATAACCGTCGATAAAACGCACCATTTTATACATTACGCTCTATTTATAACATTAATTTTAATCGAGGCTTAGTGCAAGGTATGTCTTTATTATGATTGGAATCACACAATATAATACAGCACTGAACATGGATAAGAGAGAGATATATACCGTACTGATGAAGTGTGCCGTCCCATTGGATATAAATTAAATCTTTCATCAGGTAGCAGTCTTTAGTAACCAATATTGAATTTATATAAACTACAATCTGCAAAATACCAAGTTAGCTCGTTAATGACTTTTCTTGCAGCCGCCGACATCCCAGAAGCAAAAGCAATTTTTCCTTTGAACAGTTTCTTTGAAACAAGGGAGATCACTGATAAACAACCTCAAGGCATTCGTGGAGATGTATCCTCGGCGATAGGTCCGAATGGTGACATAGGTGGCTCTTATCGATTTTCCGGGCATGCGAACAGCTACATCGAGTTCCCAAACGATGGGGGATTAGACTTGAAACACTCAATCACATTGCTATGTTGGCTGTATCCTGAGAATACACACGATGGGCCTATATTCAATTACAAATCAAGTGGTGATTTTTCCGTTCACCTTTGGATGGCCCGTTATGGAAATCTTTACGCTCTTTTCAAAAACAGAGAGTACTTAAGTATATCGGGTTCGTTATCGACCAATCAGCCTTTTGCGACGCACAAATGGCATTATATTGGTGCTTCTTACGACTATATAACTGGAATGGCAAGTCTATGGGTTAATGGAGTGAGAGTAGTAGAAAAGAATATCGGGGCCGGCGTAACGCTGGGTACACAGGATAACGTCAGAGTTGGTGTCAAAGCAGACTATCCTCGTTATTTGACTGCAAGAATTGCTGCCATGCAGTTTTATGACGTAGCCTTAACGGCAGAGCAAATAAATAGAGTGAAACATCTTGGCCTAGGTAAC